AAATCTTGGGGGGAAAAAAAAAACACCTGCTAGAGACAGTAAAAGCTAGCAGATCTTGAAATGTTTTCCTGTAATGTTTATTTTAGGAAGTTCTGAAGGAAAAGATAATGTAAAATACTAACGCTTTTAATTCTACTTATATTCAATAATGGTTAAAATTTTCTAATGACACTGCAGCTTCTGTACAGTAAGACTAATGTTTTGGAATGCAAAGTATAAATTCTGTTGCCTAATAGCTTTACCCCATGATGCCTTCACAGGTGGGGATGGTTACTGCGAATAAGGTTTGTACTTACTAGAAACATGCAATATAAGCTAAAATGCTCCGCACAGCAATATTTTTTTGTAGCTTTATTTTGTATATGCGCTTTGGAATATGTGCTCTCTGTCAACTCTGTATGTTATTTCATTACTACATCATTCTGGTTTTAAGAGATATTAGGCCCTATGCTTAATTTTAATAGTCCTGTGAACATTAATTTATACTTCAGAACAAATCATAAAAGTAACTATTTTGAATAACACTTCACACAGTTACCAGGTGTGAAGCAGTGATCCATTTAAATTGAGGTTTCTTCTCATCAGTGCAGGCAAATATTGCAGCTCATGGTTTTTTTCTTCGGTATTTTGTGGATGCATTTTAATGTAGCTTTCACTTTAGGTTTTCAGTTATTTTTAACCACTTGGAATTTATTTGGCAAAATACACCTTCCTGTGACTAAACCCCTTTGCAGATGCAGCAGCATCTGCACTCTGGCATGTTTGCATTTGCATTCTGTCAGCTCCAGTCTCACTAATAGTACTAGTCTGTTCAATCGCAGCTGCCAAACAGCACATTAATAATCTTATTGTTCATGGATAATGGTTTGGAAATGCTACCTTTTTAAGATATCAACTGCATGGCAGGCTGGAAAAGTTAAAGCTACATCCCTAAATAATCTGAAGGTTTGACTGCTTACAAGAAAGATACTTAAATTAACATTCTATTAATATTAGAATTCAGAAATAAGACTAAGTTTGGGATCTTTACAGTGATTGCAAATAAGTTGAGAATGGGAACTGTGCTGATGAGTCAAACTTCAAGCAAAGACTTAATTTCAAAGTCATGTTTCATACGTTGACTATGCTTATTTTCATTTTGGAGTTTTTCTGGTTCTGAGGGAAACTGTTCTAATGATAGCAGACAAACAAGATTTGTTTTACCCTAATGTAACTGGAGAAATACTTGCATTCTAAGCAATATACAGCTGGTCTGCAGGGGGCTGCTTAATTAGTGGAGGAGTTTAAATTACACAAACAAAGCATCTGCCATATGAGAGCAATTGTGAATTGAGAAGAGGATTGTAAATTGTTGTAAAAACTTGTTAATTGCAAGTTTTAATGCTGAATTTCAGGGACAGCCCATTTTCAGTCATTACAGGCATGAGATACACAGCTGTCTTGTACTTTGAATAAATTACTGAAATTAAGAACTGATTGTTAACCTGAAAAAGTTGAAATTGAAAAGACTTAATATCATTCCTCTCTAGCACAAGCCTTAGCAAATTGGCCATGTAAGTTGTATACGGTAAACAATAGTATGAAACCCACCATGCAGGAGAGTTAGTAAAGGAAAGCTGATGAAGAATCATTCTTTAGCAAAGCTGGTAAAGGAACTTTAAAAATTTAATGTGTCTTGGAAAACAAACAAAAACCTTCCACAAAAAAAAAAAAAGCAATAGCCAAGTTTACCTACAGCAGTACACTCAGTGCAGGGTCATCCAACTTTTCCAGATCAATCTGTTTTTAAAAAAGAATTAATAGTTGCTATGAATTAACATCACTGCATATTATATAAGAGTATCTGCTCTAACATTTACACACGTAAGCGTTTATTTTTAAACAGTCTGATACCACGAACTGTCTTATCTAATTCGCAGTGTGAAATAGCTATTTCTGATTTTAACCTTAAATAGTGAAGCAAGGGAAAACAGGAATGACAGAAGCCAAAAATAAGTTGTAAGCAAACTTCCTAATATCAGAACTGGAATTCTGAACCATTTTCAGGATAATGAATTCCTTTGTCCATATCCTGGACTGTAATGTCTCAGATTCTATTTATGGTATTGAAGTTATGAGCCCTTGGAAAGAATATTCTAATCAAAAATTTTATTAAATAATCTAGATGTTTGACCTGCATTCAGTATGAACTGTATTGGAAAGTTCAATGGTAAGGAAAAGGCATATGATTGGCCAAAAATGTTGCTGATTCATAATCATGCGTGTGCTAATGCCCACTACTAACCCGTCACAAATAACACTGCTTGCTTGTATTATCATTAGCGTGGCATGCAAAAAGCATGGCTGTTTTATGCTTGCTTTTACATTAACGTACTAAAAGTACTGGAGAGAAGAATGTGTAAAATTCATGTTTTGACTGGGCAGTTTCACGTTGTACTTTTTCCACTTACAGAAAATCACCTAGAAATCCGTGTTTTTTGTACAGCGGTTCATTTTATATTCAGCGTTAGCTGTGCTGTTGTTTATCACATATCCCTTTCCTGTGTCATGTCACACTTTCAGATACCTCCTCTTCTGATTCATCCTTGAGTATGCAGTAGTGGCAGGGAGAACTTCTGTGTCTGCTTTCAAAGTTGAAGTACATCATTTGAACCATATTTTAAATGAAAATTCAGCAGTACTGTAGGTAATGACAGAGATTAGGGTGCAGGATCTTTGCTCTTCGGGTTCTGTGCGCACCTCTTCTAGGGCCCAGCTCGTTGTGGAACATTTTGAGTAAGAGACTGTAAGAATTTGGGAAATTGCATAACAGCACTTTATTCTTCTATTTAATGGTGCTTCTAATAACAGTAGTATAAGTGCCTAAAAAAAATCTAAAATTAAAAACAAATCAACTAGCTTTGAAAGTACTTAACCTTTTTATCTGCTGTAGAAACAAGCATCATGGTTGGGATAAAGGGGAGCTGCTGATGTTAGGAAGTTTGGTTTCATGGATCAGGGTTTTAGTTTAAATATTGTAAATGTGAGGCTAAGTGAAAAGGTTTAGTTTTAAAGTAGTCACAGTAATTATTTTCTTCACTGCTATCAAAGGTCTACTGAAGATGTGTCTTCCTGTAGGTGCAACACAGCTTCGTTCACAGTCCTGCAAGCAGGGCACTGATCTTCAGAATGAGAATGGGGCTGGGGAGAGAGAGGAGTCTTTTTTAAAGGGTCACCCTGGTGGATGGCATTTCACAATTCATGACAGTACCGGTGCTTTGTTCTGTGCCTTCTGGATTATTTTATTTACCACTTAAATTTTAATACAGGACTTGGGAGAAAATGTATGGCTCACACCTCACAGAAAGCACTAATCCTAGAATAATGTTTTTGTGAATGTTCTAGCAGCGCACATTTGACTGTCCTGTGGAAGTCAAGTCAGTTGGTCAGGAAACAATACGATACAGTTCCAGCTATTATATTAGCTGTGCCACTACAGAATCACTGCAAATTACAGGAGTGCCAGCCAGCCTCATGCAGTGAGCCTGAGAAAGAAGTAGGGGAGGCTGCACTCAAGACTTCAGTTCTCAATATGCTTTGGCCTCTTCCATGTCACTTAAGCTCAAACGTTTTCAACTTGAACATTTACAACGTAACTTCTGTGTTAAAGTTAAGACTCTAATGCTTAAGATATAATTCTAGTCTTTACAAGATCCCTGGTGATGTCACCTTAGTTTAAAAGCAAGATGTTTGTTTGGATTTATTGATCTAAACAACTTGAACTGTTTAAATCAAAAATTTTGGCCTCCTTTTAGCACTGTACGTGTACTCACCACTTCTACAAGTCTTAGGTGCTGTTTACTTGGATGATGGCCTGGGTGCCAAATTTTATGCTAAGTGGCAATCCTGTTTTGATATTACTGTCTGTAGTATACTATCATTCCTGTGGGGATTTGAGGAATATGATATTAAATCATACTCAATTCCTTCCATTCTTCAGAAATAAGTGCTTTTCTTAATGTACCTAAAATAGGCATGCAGGAGAAGCAACCCAAAGATAACATTTTTAGTTTGGTTAGCCTTTTTCTGTTGTTGTGTGCACGTGCACACATGTTCCAGCCCTCTGTTAGCAGAGCCTTTGTTGATCTTTCCTTTCCCTTTTCTTTCTAAGGAAATGCACCAGAAATACACTGTTGAATGCGATGTCACTGTCCAGACTGCTAAATTTGCTGTTTCATTTTTTGTGCAGACTCTAATTCCAGTATTCAAGAACCACTTCAAAACGCTTCTTCAGAGCTTCTTACAGAGACAGCGAGCAAAGAACTGCACAACCATCTCGCGCTAGATGTTGACGATACGGAAAGCACTGCTCTATAGAGGAAACTCTTAAACTTTTTGTACTTTCCTGTCCTGGTGGGAAAACTAACAGACTTTAACAGTGAAAAAGCTTCTTCTGACAAAACGGCAAACCTGTGTAGAGTTCTGGCTTGTGAGTCACTGCAAAAGTGATTGAGCCATGCAGAGGAAGTTGAATGATCTGTGTCTCAACAATGGTTTTCAGAATCGTGGATAGAAGAAATTAATTAATGCAGAAACTTGCATAGGAAGCATAATTGCTGCTAATACAGCTGGTATTAGCAAATATTCCGAACGATTAAGAAGCAAAACAGTAGTTATTTAAAGCGCATGTATTATGGAAATAATCTTTTTAATGTCATGGTTAGACTTTTACTTCTAGTTCTTAAGACATTACAAGGAGATGCCTTGCAAGAGACATTCCCTCACTGATTTGCTGCAGATTCTTTTTAAAAACATGAACCAAAAAATGCCGGAGTGCTGGTGGTGACTGCTGGTTATCAGTTGCCTCATCAAAACTGTGGATGTATTCTAGTGCCTTGAAGGACTGTCATACTGTAGAAGGAAACTTACTGTATCTTTAATCATTTCATTGCTACTCCAAGATCAATACCTAATACTTATTTCATAGTTATTTGTATTAACCAAGCCTGCTTTTGTTTATGTGAAACTTGCAAGAGTTTTGAGGTAAAACTGTGGAAGTGTTTTTTTTTTTTTTGCTTTCATTGAAAACGGTTGAATTCTGAAAGAACTTTGAACATCGGGTTTGATGCATCGGTTGGTGAACATTTATAAAAATTAAAGACCCTCTTTTGTCAGCCTGAGGCCTGTTTATTGGCGTGCACACAGAGTGCCCGTGGTTCGCGCTCCCTCAGAAGCAAAGCTCTGCCCTGGAGGCCGTGTGCTCCTCCCCGGGGCTTCACAGCTAGCAGGGCACTGCCTGCTCCGTGTGCTCTTCATTCACGGGCTGCAGAAGACAGGGCCTGGGACTGAACGTGCCTCTTCCTTAACACCTGGATCCCTCGGGAGAAGTGCTGGGCACAGCCCGGATCATGCAGAGAAGTGGGAGGGAATGGGCCAAACGGCTTCTGGGGAGGGGAGGTGGGGCAGGGGAGGAAATCAGTCCCTGGGGGTAACGCTCCCGTCACCAATGAAGGTAACTGCGCTCCCTAGGGGATGCACGGCCCTTGGTGACAAGCCCCACGCGTTTTGGCTGCGCTCTCCTTGAGCCCGGCTCCAGCCCCGTACCGAGCCCGGCGCTGCCTCGCGATCGGCGTCACCCCGGTTACCGGCCCGGGCCCGCAGGGGGGGGGACCGTGGCCGTCCTGCCCAGCCCGGCTGTCCCGGGCCCAGCCCGGAGCGCTGCGGCCGCACCCGCGGCTCGGAGCCGCTCCCGGCGCTCGGCGGCAGCGCCCGGCCCGGCCCAGGCCCCGCCCCCAAGGGCTGGCCCCGCCCCTCGCCGAGTGTAGCCCAGCCCCGCCCAATGCTCGTCCTGCTCCTGTCAAGCAGGCCCCGCCCCCCGATCCCGCCCCGTCCAATCCCGACGCTGGCTCTGTGAGGACGGACCCGCCCCCTCTGGTCCTGCTCCGCCCAATCCGCGTGCTGGCCCTGTCAGGGTAAACCCGCCCCTTGCCAGGCGCGGATCTGCCGCACCCAATCATCTTCCGAGTCCTGTCAGGATGGCCCCGCCCCTCGTCACGAGGACCCAGCACCGCCCAATCACCGTCCTGGCCCTGTCAGTAAGGCCCCGCCCCGCCCCGCCCCGCCCGTGCCGCTCCCCGCCGTGTCCCGGCCCGCCCGACCCCGGTGCCCGCCCGGTCAGGGCTCGCCGCTGTCCCCGGCCGCCCGGGGCCCCCTCCCCGCCACCACCATTCTGGAGGCGCAGCCCGGAGGGCGCGCGGGGACCCCGGTCCCGTCCCACCCGTCCCGTCCCTCCCGTCTCGCCCCCTCCCGGGGCACCCGGCCCGTTTCCCTGCCCGGACAACGAACGCCGCCTCTGCGGGGCTGTTGGGGGAGGGAGGGAGAGAAGGACGGGGCCCTTTACAACCTCCCGCAGCACCCGGGGGGAGCACGGCGAGGCCGCGGACCCGGGACAGCCCCCGGCGGACACTGACGGGCGGGCGGCAGCGCTGCGGCGCCAGGGCGAGGGGGCGGGGCCGAACTGACAGAGCCAGGGCCGCGATTGGGTGGAGCGAGGCCGAGCCAGAGCGGATTGGGTGGGCGGGGAGTTGCTGTAGGCCGGGATTGGGCGGGGTGGGAGCAGGCGGGGTGGGAGGCGGGACTTCACTGAGAGGGCCGAGGCAGGGATTGGACAGAGCGAGGCGGGACGGGATTGGTTCCAGCTGTAGCTGGGGCAGCCACGGATTGGCTGTGACCAAGCTCGGGGCGGGGCCGAGGGTGTGAAACTGGGCATGTGGAGCGGTGGCTGGCACAGTGTGAAGACGACGCCGGCGGTGACAGATGGGAGCAGCAGCAGCAGAGTGGGGTGAGCTGAGGGCGACGGGAGGGCGGGCAAGGGGCATGGGCTGGCGGGTACCGGGCAGGGCGGAGGGGGGGTGCCGTGTTGAGAATATGAGTAGTAGGGATTAATGTAGGACCTTTTAAAAACAGACAGCTGTAAACAGCCAGAAAGAGAAGGAAATACACCAGAAAGAAAATGGGAAAGCCCAACACGAGCAACAGGTGTCTGGTGCTGCTGCATTGAGCTTCAGCTAAAACCAATGGCAGGAGCTAGACAGGAGGGGCAGAAGAATACAGCTTGCGTGAGAAGTATGCTGGAAGAAAAACTGAAAGGTAGGACTAAAAAAGCATTTTTTGTGGGTGGATTTTTGCGGAGGGGGGAGGAAGATGGGAAAACATGTAATACTGGGGATAGGGCTGGAAAAGAAGAGCTGGACATGAAATGAAGAGGAGCTGAATAATAAAGATTTTTGGGGGGGAATACATTGGGCAACAGCTGAAATCACTGACTCTGAGTTGTGTTTGTTTTTTTTTAATTTTTTTTGGGGGGGAGGCAAGAGACTAAATAATTGGGTAGGACCTAAGAATCCACATACAATAGAGAAAATATGGGGAAAACAAATGGAAAATTGGGAAAGAAGCTGAAAGAAGAGCTGGACATGAAATGAAGAGGAGCTCCATAATAAAGCTTTTTGGGGGGGAAAACAGCTGAAATCACTGACTGAGTTGTGTTGGTTTTTTTTCAATTTTTTCTGGGGAACTGGACAAGAGATTAAATACTTGGGTAGAACCTAAGAATCCACATGAGGAAATGGGGGGAAAAAAAGTGAAACCCGGGGAAAGTAGCTGAGAAAGAAGAGCTACACCTGAGCTGAAGAGGAGCTGAATAATAAACCTCTTTTTTGGGGGGAAAACAGGTGAAATCACTGACTCTGAGTTGTGTTTTTACCCTTTTCTGGGGAAACTTGGGGCAAAAGCTGGAATCCCTGTGAAGATGCTGAGAAAGAAGAGCTATGCCTGAGCTGAAGAGGAGCTGAATAGTAAAGCTCTTTTTCTGGGGAAAAACACCTGAAATCACTGACTCTGCGTTGTGTTTTTTATTTTTATTTTTCTGGGGAAATGGGTAAGAGATTAAATACTTGGGTAGGACCTAAGAAACCAATGCAATAGAGGAAGTGGGGGAAAAAAAGGTGAAATCCAGGGAAAGGAGCTAAGAGAAGAGCTGGGCCTGAGCTGAAGAGGAGCTCAATAATAAAGTTCTTTTTTGGGGGAAGACAGCTGAAATCACTGACTCTGAGTTGTGGTTTTTTTTTTTTCAGTTTTTCTGGGGATAGGGGCAAGTGCTGAAGTATCTGGGAAGGACCTAAGAATCCGCATTCAATAGAGGAAATGGGGGGGAAAAAAATGGGAATCGGCGATGAAGCTGAAAGAAGAGCTGGACCTGAGCTGAAGAGGAGTTGAATAATAAAGCTCTTTTTGGGGTAAAACACAGGGAGATCACTAAAATCACTGTCTCTGAGTTGTGTTTTTTTATTTATTTTTCTGGGCAAGAGATTAAGTACTTGGGTAGGACCTAAGAATCCCATACAATAGAGGAAAGGGGGGAAGAAAGGTGAAATCCAGGGAAAGGAGCTAAGAGAAGAGCTGGACCTGAGCTGAAGAGGAGCTGAATAATAAAGCTTTTTTGGGGGAAAACAGGGGGCATCAGCTGAAATCACTGACTCTGAGTTGTGATTTGTTTTTTTTTTTTTTAATGTTTCTGCGGAAATGGGCAGAAATGGGCAAGAGCTGAAATACCTGGGGAGCTGCTGAGAATTCACTGTCAATAGAGTAAATGGGGCAGCAGCTCTGTAGCGCCAGGGATGCTAGGGGTGGGAGGCGGGACGTCACTGAGAGGACCGAGGCAGGGATTGGACGGAGCGAGGCGGGACGGGATTGGTTCCAGCTGTAGCTGGGGCGGTCACGGATTGGCTGTGACCAAGTTTGGGGCGGGGCCGAGGGTGTGAAATGGGGCATGTGGAGCGGCGGCTGGCACAGTGTGAAGACGACGCCGGCGGAGACAGGTGGGAGCAGCAGCAGCAGAGTGGGGTGAGCTGAGGACGATGGGAGGGCGGGCAAGGGGCATGGGCTGGCGGGTACTGGGTGGGGCGGAGGGGGGGTGCGGCATGGTGGTGGGCAGGCAGGGGCGCCCTGTTGAGAATATGAGTAGTAGGGAGTAATGTAGGACCTTTTAAACTAACAGCTGTAAAAAGCCAGAAAGAGAAGGAAATACACCAGAGAGAAAATGGGAAAGCCCAACGTGAGCAACAGGTGTCTGGTGCTGCTGCGTTGAGCTTCAGCTAAAACCAATGGCAGGAGCTAGACGGGAGGGACAGAAGAATACAGCTTGCACGAGAAATGTGCTGGAAGAAAAATTGAAAGCTAGGAAAAAAATTTTTTGTGGGGGGGAAGATGGGAAAACCTGAATGTTGGGGATGGGGCTGTAAAAGAGAAGAGCTGGATGTGAAATTAAAAGGAGCTGAATAATAAAGCCTTTTTTGGGGAAAACAGGGAAATCACTGAAATCACTCACTCTGAGTTGTGTTTTTATTTTTCTGGGGAAATGGGCAAGAGATTAAATACTTGAGTAGGACCTAAGAATCCACATGAGGAAATGGGGGAAAAAAAGTGAAACCAGGGGAAAGGAGCTGAGAAAGAAGACCTAGACCCGAGCTGAAGAGGAGCTGAGTAATAAAGCTTTTTTGGGGGAGAAACAGCTGAAATCACTGACTCTGAGTTGTGTTTTGTTTTGTTTTTTTTTTCAATTTTTCTGGGGAATTGGACAAGAGTTGAAATAGCTGGGTAGGACCTAAGAATGCATCTGAGGAACTGGGGGAAAAGGTGGAATCACGGGAAAGGTGCTGAGAGAAGAGCTGGACCTGAGCTGAAGAGGAGCAGAATAATAAAGCTTTTTTTTTTTTTTTTTTGTGAAAACATGGGGCAGCAGCTGAAATCCCTGACTTTGAGTTGTGGTTTTTTTACCCTTTTTCTGGGGAAACCTGGGGCAAAAGCTGGAATCAATGCGAAGAGGCTGAGAAAGAAGAGCTGGACCTGAGCTGAAGTGGAGACGAATAATAAAGCTTTTTTGGGGGGAAATCCGGGGGAAACAGCTGAAATCATTGACTCTGAGTTGTGTTTTTTATTTTTATTTTTCCAGGGAAATGGGCAAGAGATTAAATACTTGGGTAGGACCTACGACTCCACATAAAATAGAGGAAATGGGGGGGAAAAAAGGTGAAATCCAGGGAAAGGAGCTAAGAGAAGAGCTGGACCTGAGCTGAAGAGGAGCTGAATAATAAAGCTTTTTTTGGGGGGGAAAACACGGGGCAGCAGCTGAAATCACTGACTCTGAGTTGTGTTTTTTTTTTATGCTTTTCTGGGGAAACTTGGGGCAAAAGCTGGAATCCCCGTGAAGATGCTGAGAAAGAAGAGCTACACCTGAGCTGAAGAGGAGCTGAATAATAAAGCTTTTTTGGGAGCAAAAGAGCTGAGATCACTGACTCAGTTGTGTGGGTTTTTTTTTTATCAATTTATCTAGGGATAGGGGCAAGTGCTGAAGTATCTGGGAAGGACCTAAGAATCTGCATTCAATAGAGGAAATGTGGGGGGGGAAAATGGGAATTGGGAAAGAAGCTGAAAGAAGAGCAGGACCTGAGCTGAAGAGGAGCTGAATAATAAAGCTTTTTTGGGATAAAACATGGGGAAATCACTGTTCTGAGTTGTGTTTTTTTTTTTTTATAATTTTTCTGGGGAACTGGGCAAGAGATTAAATACTTGGGTAGGACCTAAGAATCCAATACGATAGAGGAAATGGGGGAAAAAAGACGAAATCCAGGGAAAGGAGCTAAGAGAAGAGCTGGACCTGAGCTGAATAATAAAGCTTTTTTGGGGGAAAACGGGGCATCGGCTGATATCACTGGCTCTGAGTTGTGTTTATATTTCAGTTTTTCTGGGGATAGGGGCAAGTGCTGAAATACCTGGGTAGGACCTAAGAATCCACATTCAATAGAGGAAATGTGGGAAAAAAAAATGGAAATTGGGAAAGACGCTGAAAGAAGAGGTGGACCTGAGCTGAAGAAGAGATGAATAATATAGCTTTTTCGGGGCAAAACAGGGTGAAACAGCTGAAATCACTGGCTCTGAGATGTGTTTTTTTATTATTTTTCCAGGGAAACGGGCAAGAGATTAAATACGTGGGTAGGACCTAAGTCTCCACATACAATAGAGGAAAGGGGGGAAAAAAAGTGAAATCCAGGGAAAGGAGCTAAGTGAAGAGCTGGACCTGAGCTGAAGAGGAGCTGAATAATAAAGCTTTTTTTGGGGAAAACAGGGGGCATCAGCTGAAATCACTGACTCTGAGTTGTGTTTTCTTTTTAATTTTTCTGGGGGAAGGGGTAAGTGCTAAAATCTCTGGGAAGGACCTAAGAATCCATATTCAATAAAAGACATGTGGGAAAAAAAATGGAAATCGGGAAAGAAGCTGAAAGAAGAGCTGTATGTGAAATGGAGCTCCATAATAAAGGTTTTTTTGGGGAAAACAGGGAAATCGCCGAAATCACTGTCTCTGAGTTGTTTTTTTTATTTTTCTGGGGAAATGGGCAAGAGATTAAATACTTGGGTAGGACCTAAGTCTCCACATACAATAGAGGAAAGGGGGGAAAAAAATGAGAAATCACAGGAAAGGAACTAAGAGAAGAGTTGGACCTGAGCTGAAGAGGAGCTGAATAGTAAAGCTTTTCTGGGGGAAAACGGGGGGCATCATCTGAAATCACTGACTCTGAGTTGTGGGGTTTTTTTTATGCTTTTCTGGGGAAACTTGGGGCAAAAGCTGAAATCCCTGGGAAGAGGCTGAGAAGGAAGAGCTGGACCTGAGCTGAAGAGGAGCTGAGTAATAAAGCTTTTTTGGGGGGAAAACATGGGGCAACAGCTGAAATCACTGACTCTGAGCTGTGGGTTTTTTTTCAATTTTTCTTGGGAAATGGGCAAGAGCTGAAATATTTGTGTAGGACCTCAGAATCCACATTTAATAGAGGAAACGGGAGAAAACGTGAAATCAGGGGAAAGGAGCTGAGAAAGAAAAGCTGGTCAGGTGCTGAAGAAGAGCTGAATAATAATGTTTTTTTGGGGGGGGGAGAAAACACAGGGTAATAGCTGAAATCACTATGAGTTGTCTTTAAATGTCTGGGGAAAAACTTGGGGCAAGAGATGAAATCCCTGCAAAGAGGCTGAGAAAGAAGAGCTGCACCTGAGCTGAAGAGGAGCTGAATAATAAAGCTTTTTTGGGGGGAAAACATGGGGCAACAGGTGAAAGTATTAAATTTTTTTTGAAGTTATTGATGAATACATAAGGCATATGATGAATTAACTGGGGAGGAGTTGAAAATAAATATTTTGGTATGAAACCGTCTTGCATGTGACGGGGCTCAGGAGGGTGCAGGGGTGCGAAGGTGACCATCGGGCAGCACTGTGTGAAGCCAGCGCCTGTTCGGGAGGTGTGGTGCCAGGAGCGAGCAGCTGCTGCTGGGCCCATCCCAGAGCTCTGCCTGCGGCCACCACCAGCCCCATGTGCAGTGCTCTCTGCCATCCTGCCCCCATCGTCCCCGGTCACCCCTTTCTGCCCAGGTCACAGGTGGGTGGTGCTGGCCAGAGCTCGCCTGGATGTGGAGCTCGGGGCTGTGGCAGCTGCCAGCCAGGAGTGCCCACCCGCAGGGCAGTGGCACCCTCAGCCTGGCCCAGGGCTGCCTGCAAGACATGGACCTGTGCCCAGGGATGGCATCGCTGCCGCAAATCGGCCGTGACCCACTCAAGACACCATCCATGGTCAGCCTGAGGCCTGTTTATTGGCATGCACATGGAGCGCCTGTGGTTCGCGCTCCCTCAGAAGCAAAGCTCTGCCCTGGAGGCTGCGTGCTCCTCCCCAGGGCTCCGCAGCGAGCAGGGCGCTGCCTGCTCCACGTTCTCTTCGTTCACAAGCTGCAGAAGACACGGCCTGGGACTGAACGTGCCTCTTCCTTAACACCTGGATCCCTCAGAACCGCCAGGCGAAGTGCTGGGCACAGCCCAGATCATGCAGAGAGGTGGGAGGGAATGGGCCAAACGGCTTCTGGGGAGGTGGGGCAGAGGAGGAAATCAGTCCCTGGGGGTAACGCTCCTGTCACTAATGAAGGTAACTGCGCTCCCCAGGGGATGCACAGCCCTTGGTGACAAACCCCATGTGTTTTGGCTGTATTCTCCTTGACACCATGCCAGAAAGAGCCTGGCTGCCCCCACCCTCTGCTCAGGTGCACCTTGGGAGGGAAGGTGCCTGCTGGGAGCGGGTCACGGCTCCAGCCCTGTAATGAGCTCTTCTATCTCCAAGTTCAGTGTCATGAGCCAGAACTGTAGCCATGTGACTAAATGGGATGCTCATCCCTAAAACCATGCGCAGTGTACCTGAATCCAGGGCAAGTTGTAACGGACTTAAATACATTCTCAGGAAGTCTCCTGGGCTTGTACATTCTTTGGCTCTGCACAAACGGCTAATTGTCTCTGCTGGGATTTGCAGGTCGGGTACAAGAATGTACGGACTGTCGGTCACGTCCTCACTGTCGTCCTTGGGAACAAGCATGTGTCAGGGCCAGTGGCACAGGGGATGGCAGGTTGCTGCCATTGCTGGGGGGGGGGGGCAACCAGGGACATTTCTTACAGCTTGAGTATCTTGAGCTTACCTCAGCAGGTTTTGGTGTGCAGGCTGCCACTCTGAACAGGAGATTAAGACACTCTGTGACTGTCCCTTCTGCAGGCTGTGACTCTGTTGTGTCTTCTAGATGTGTCACAGGAGATGTCACCACTGACACATTCCAGTCTGGGAACTGTCTGGTGGGGATGTTATGTGCTACCACTGCAACTTTAATGTCCTGAAGTAAAGCACTGAGTGGAAAGAGTGAAATCCATCCTTAGAGCAGCAAGGATTTTTTATCAGAACATATTGAAGCTTCATAAGCCACATGACATCTGCAGGCCTAATGCTACCCTATAGCACTGCACACCTGGGGTATGCAGCACCCCTCCCACCCCGGGCTGTCCACCTTGCAGATCCTCCAGCAGAAGCGGTTTCCAGTTGCACCCTAACAACTGGGCAAGGGTCTCAAGCAGACTGGTTGGATGGGAGGGTAAAAAACGAGCAGAAGAGCAGTAGGGATTTAGTAAACAAATGCAGGAGTGAGATGGTGGTACTGTACTCCACAGGTACACAAATGGTTACTACAAAGGGGATGTAACCTTAGCTAATGTTCAGTTTTACCTTAAAGGGAGCATTCTACCATTTCTGTTACAATTTTCTTTCGGAGAAGCTGATGGAAACCACTTACCTGGGACCTTGATCTTGGAGAGAAGCTAGATCTCGGATGACGAGATGTATTGTGCTGCTGCAAGACTGCAGAGGAATGGGTAGAGTTTTTATGGAATTGCATATTACAAAATAATTTGTGAATACAAAAATAACTTATCAGCTTCCCCTCCTGTAAATGAGCTTTCTCTTTTAGTCCCAGGCATTGAAAACAATGCACATTCTTATTACATTTGATGAAACATGTCATCCTTTCTGTCAAATTACCGTTCTGGGGCAGTTATCAGAAGTATGAGCTGGAGCAAGTTCCAGAGGTAAGCTTTGGAAACCACCACACCATTATTCAGGTCTTAGTTCTTACTTTAGGCCAGTGTATGGAGGAAGAGGTGGTTATGCATCTGTAGTTGCTGGAGTTTGGAAGCCACATTTGTACAAAGATGAACTGAGGTTGTTGGATCCCACCAGGAATTTCTTTAACTTACCTCCACTACATGAAGAACATAGCTTGAACAGACAAGCAGCAGACCTGAGACTGGTTCTCTTGAGTTGTATTTTGAGGCATATTCAAACAATCCTCTGTGATAACCTTGTTTCAAAAGAAAAACTGGCAGTTTGTCAAACTGCTTACAGTGATAGTTCCAGCAGCATGTGCTATTTGTTCCATTCTGTCCGCTCTCTGCTGCCACAGACAACAGATTTACAAATTATGCTTTTAGTATTCAGAAGAAACGTTAAAGTATCATTAACATGGGATTCCCTTCTTCACGTATGCAGTGACACAATCCATGTTAACTCCTAAAACCATCCCAGATCCTGCACCACTTAGTGCAGCTGAAGCCTACAATTTCCATCACCATTTGTTTACTCGACAGATGAAGTTACATCTTGGCTGCTCTAAGTGCACCACGTGAAGGCCTCAAATGCGGAGCACTTCAGTAGTTTTGTAGGCAGAGTTGGATCGGATTCTTGCCTGTGTTTGGCATTGGCACAAACTCATACAATTTTAAGTACCTGTCTTAATGTATCTCACTCACCAGAAAAAAAACAACCTACTTTAAGATGGCTGAGAAAGTCATACTTAAAAGTTGTTTGTAAAAAATGTATCATACTATAAAAATAAAGTCTCACTCTCCCTCAGGGTTTCTAATAGTCCTGTCTTATTTCCTTAGGAAGGATTCCTAAGTGGTAATTCTCTTTATATGCTCTAACAAAAATGGTGTTTTCTCATTTCATGCACTATGACAAGGCTTGTACACATCCCTGCTCCGTGCTGCTCACTGTGTCACTCTGTGCACGTGCAGCACAAAGAGCTTTAGGACACGGTATTTGCTCCAACTCGGCAGCGGTTCTGCTGCACCGTACAGCAGTACCGTGCCCTGGGGCACGTCCCGAGCGAAGAGGAAGAAACGAGAGGGGGGAAGGGGCACTCGCTGCGTGCCCAGGCCCCCATTACACACCTGCCACCTCCTGCTCCGCCACCGCCTCGCCCAGCCGCGCCGTCACCAGCAGCCGGTGCAGGGGGAACCGGGCCTGCGCCGAGAGGGGCGGGGTCAGGGCGGGGCCAGGGTGGGGCAGGAGGGGGCGTGGCCAGGGCATGGCTGGGTCTGAGCAGGGCGGGGTTGGGGTGGGGTCAGGGCAGGGCGGGGTCAGGGCGTACCCGGGGTGGGGCGGGATGGGGGCGGGGGGCTGGGCGTGGCGGGATAGGGCGTGGTCATGGCAGGGTGTGGTCCCTCTCGCCCCGCCCCCAGTCTCGCCCCCACCTGCTCCTGGCCGTGCCGCTGCAGCCGCCGCAGGCCCAGGAGGTTCTGCCGCTCCGGGGCCGCGGGCTCCGCCGAGTCCCACTGGGCCGCCTCCGTGGCCGCGCCGCGGGGCAAGGGCCAGGGCCCCTCAGCGGCCGGCGGGTCCGGTTCTGGACCCGTGCTGGGGCCGGTCCCGGCCGGGAGCAGCTCGCTCTCCATAACGCCGGTCTCAGCAGCCGGAGGCCCGGCCGGCGCAGCTCACGAGCAGCAGGTCGAGGCTGAGGCCGAGGCACGGCACCGCCCGGCCGCGTTTCCCCCTCCGGGTTGAGGCTGTTCCCGGGGGCGCGTTCGTTCTCCCGGCCCCGCGGTTGAACGCCGCCTGCTCGCGCCCAGCCCCTCCCGGCAGCCGCCGCTCAGCGCCCGGCCGTGTCCGTGCCCCCCGTGGGCGCCCCCTCGGGGCCGGGAGCGGGGCCGGGGGGGAGGCGTGTGCGGACGATGCGACCCCCCCGAGCTGCGGGCAGAGGACGCCGTGCGGCGAAAGCGGTCGCGGATGCGTAAAGAGGAGCAGAATCCAGATTTCCCGAATTCTAGGTAGTGCTTTACCACACAGAGCGTCATTAAATACTTGAAATAACCAAAGCTTCCGCCCGGCTGCCTGCCGGAGCTCTTCGGGCTCATCAGGGGTCCAGTTTGGGTCTGGCTGGGACGGTGCTGAGTGCTCAGCACCTTCCAGCTCCTTGCGAGAAATAAGCTGTTAGGGAGGAGGGTCTGTCTTCTTAAATAAGATTTAGAAAGCATTATGAATTACATTAACCCTCTGCTAATTATTATCATTATTTACACCAGTTAAAATTAGTTGATCTCATCTGGAATCAAATGGCTGACTGCTATGCGAAGTAGGCCCAGAGGAAGATCCCAGCACACACAGTTATTAGCAAGTTGATGTTCAGGACATGTTTCACCAGCGGTTTCTCCTCCAAGGAAGCCATGGGAAGCTCGGGTTTAGTCGGCGCCGCGTTCTCAGAGTTTTCCGGTCTGCGCTCCATCCCGCAGAGCCACAGAAAGGTCTTCATCAGCTTCGAGTTCCTTTTGGTGTCAGTCGTGCCTACAAAGCCAGTAAATAGCGAGGTATAAATCTCACTTACAAACCAAATCCCAGGGATGTATCAGTGTGGTCCTGTACAAAGGGTGTGATGCAAAAATGCACCCTCGCTCTTTAACTGAGTACACTGGCTACACTGAAGTGTGGGAAACCCTTCAAGGAACATCTGTTTGGGGCTGCAGGATCAATTTCATTCTTCCCTGGAGGTCTGACCTCAAGTTCTGCTGCTCCCAGCATTCTAGGAAACCGTAACAGGAGAGCACACCTGAAAGCTCGGCTGTAACTGCTTGGTGCCCATCAGCTTCCTCCTGCACGTGCATGCTCTAGTCTGTTTAGGGTTACTCCACATTACACGTGTGCAAAATGATTTCTCCCAGCTTTGTTGTCGATTAGGACATACGTGACAAAATGCCAGGAAGACTGTGCTCATACACAACAAAAGTGAGATTTCCCAGCATTTAACTTACTCATTAACTAATTGATCTTTTCAATAGCTTTTTATAGATAGAGGAATACTCAGCAAAAGCTGCAGAGCTGCACAAACAGTGTCCCAAGCCTGGCAATAACAAGTGATGATAATCATTGCTGGAAAGTGCAGAATGAGTTGCTATGCATGTTTATACCTAATACCGACAAGTACAAGTTTTAAAAAATGTAAATCCTCCTTCACTGATCTGTCAAGAACTCCGCCCAGGGCTCTGGGTTCTCCCTGCTGCTAGAGTCGATCAGAAAACATCACTGAAAAACAGAAATGGAATTTCATGAAAATAATTGTGGTTTTCCTCCACCCTCCCCTTTTTCAATCAGTTCTCCTTGCAGCAGGTGCAAATAGCGCTAATCCTTAGTGCAGGACAGTGGGCAGGGCTTCCTGTATCCCATCCAGCTCCTTCTTGATTTCAAGCATATGTAATGCCATCAAGAGATGGAAAAGAAACTAAAACTAAACATTTGCTCAGGTAAAACTGTCAGGTAAAAACCTTTTAGCATACCCTGAAGATACAAAAATCCAAAGGAAGTAGTTTTAACTTTTCTTGTCTTCAGAGCCTTTACATAACGCGTAGGGTTGTTAATTGTGGATATTACTGAATATGGTGTTGGAGCACTTACATTTATTATCATTTGAACTATTTTCAGAGGCAATGCTTATATCAATCTGGAGAGTGGGACGCTCAGCTTCACACACTCCTTTTGCAGCATCAGGAGAAGTGCTGACTGCTAGGTCTTTCTTGACTGGTAGATCCCCGCGTGTGAACCAGGTAAGCCGACTTATCTGATGGCATGAAGAGTGGTGTTAAAGAAAACTGCTTTCATGGTTGTTTAAAGGACTACCTTAGCAGTACAGCAGCCTGGAGAGAGAATACTTTAAGGGGTCAAAATCTGTTCTCCTGCTCTGCTGGAGCAGGTGAACATCTAAGCTCTCAGCTGCTAACGACAGAAGCGATGGCTACTATTGGCATGCTGGTTTTAGTTTTGTCTGGAACGTGATAGCTCTCTGACGGATCACATTCTTCACTTTCTGTTACTGAACAGGAGACATTTCTGCATGGGACCGTCACTGGATGCAGACTGAGAGCAGGCCAGCGAAGGGAGCAAAAGAATGAAAAGTGCAGCCAGTGAGAAACGATTCAAAGAACTGGGGTTGTTTAGAGAAGCCAAGACAGGTGGGAGACACGATAATTTTCTTCAAATATGTAAAAGATTCATTAAAGAGGAATTTTCTCAGTATCAATGACAGGGCAGACAGGAAAGGATGAGCACAACGTGAAGCTAGAAAGATTCAGGTTGGAGATGAGGAAAAACTTCTACTGAGAAAGGCAGGTAAGCTCTCGGAACTGATCAGGCACCTCCTTGGGCATTTTCCCTCTCTGGGGACTTTGAGAGTAAGTTTGCCAGGGGTTTTTCAGAAATGTAGCGGGTTAGTTCTGTCTTGAAGCAAGAGGATGTATTGGCTGTATGATTTCTGAAGGTCCCTTCTAGTCCTCCTTTCTGCTATTTACGTTTTTCTGTAGCCTCAGTGTATCTATTAAAAATAGTCAAACTGGCACAAACCTGTTCCAGAGGAAGTGTGCTCTCTGCCCTTGATTTCTCTTTTCTGCGAGTAAAAATGGTTCCTCACTAAATTAGTAAGAGAGTTGATAAAGATGACCCAGAAGCTGGAATTTCTTGGAAAATAGAGGGAAAAAGCTAATTTGTCATGGATTAAACACACGTTTGAATTTAAGAACAGCTCTTTAACACCTACTGTTGACCAGTTTCCAGGATGGGACTCTGGATTTACGGGACCAAAACCTTAAATGGCAAGGCAGCAGAGTGCTGGAGCAAAGGAGGGATTGCTGTTACAAGTTATTGCGAGTGTTTTCACAGACATAGAATGAATGGAAACTTCCATTTCCATGTTATGTATCATCTTATTCCCATGGAAGTAACTTGGGGCATCCTGGAAACCATTTAAGAATAATGAAAGAAATCTGAGGGGTTGACGCACCATTTCTTCCGAGGGGGGTTCTGTGAGCATGCTCACGACCAGCACGGTGAGCGTGGAGATGGCAGCCAGGACCATGGAGAAGTAGAGGTAGTGCATGTACCTCACCACGCCCGGCCTGCGGTCCTGCTCCCCGCACTGGGGCTCCGGGTAGACGAAGTCCAGCACCAGTCGGATGACGCCCAGCAGCAACCCGATCACCAGGCCCCAGAACGCGCCCTAGGAAATGAGGGATATTCTTTACTGGAGCAGGAAGCATGAATCCACCCAGGACCCAGGGCTATACCCATGTTTGCAGGCTATAAGCTGGCCAGGCTTTCTCCTTGCAGATTTTTTTGGCAGGCTTCCCTCGCCTCCCTGTTCTGCTCCTGCTGTTCATCTAGGTGTGCCAGTGCTGGTACAGTAGCCTGGAGCCCCTGCTGCATGGGGACGAGTGGGTCGTGCATTTTGGTAGTGAGGGGAGGTGTAATGTCTTATGCCGAAATACTCTGAAGGGAAATATTAATCATACAAACATCCTAATGGTTGCCTTAACAGTGGGTGCTTACAACTGGTCTCCACCTAAGCAAAAGCCAGTTTGGGAAGGCTTTGCCCTGTACCCAGCACCAGTCTTTGCAGAGGAGCTGGAGGCTTTGGATTCCCGCTGCCATTCGGCTCCTTAAGTCCCCAGGCTCCTGATGCAGATCATAGGAGTGCATCTAGTAAATGGCTAGTGAGGCCCTAACACCCTGCAACCAAGTGACACGGTCATCTCACTGCTTCTGAAATGCCAGTGGAGCCTTTGAAAACCAGCAGGAATTACTGCCCCGGGCTGATGGCTCTGCAGAGGTCTGGGTGCCTTCTTTCTGCTAAGCACTAGAGGAGGAGGCTGGACTGCAGCCTGGGGCTGTGCTCTGAGCCTCTGTCTGGCCACAGAGGCGACTGCACTGAGCACAGGGGAGTTGTTACCTTTTCGTTTGCTCTTTTCCAGAAGCAACCCAGTATGAACACCATTGCCACAGGGGGCTGCAGGTAGGAGCTGATGGACTGGATGTAAATGAAGAGCTGCCCGCCCTGGCCAGCCTGCACCAGTGGGATCCACAGGATGGAGATCACAATGAGCAGCAGCACAAAGACCCTGTGCAAGAAGATGTCATTACTGGTAGCTCAGACTGTTCTTTTGCACTTGCTCAGCTTGCCGGGCTCCTGCTGAGATCTGCAACCACCAGGTCTCTGCTGTAGCCCCCTGTGCAGAACAGGGCTCTCGGCCCGTCCTCAGCTGTAGTGGATCCTTTGCACCCGCCCTGCCCAGGCTTCCCCAGACACCCCCTCCAGCTGCTTCACTCATGTCTCTGCATGTCTTTGTGCTATGGCATCTTGGGTTTGCTCCCGTAGTTTGGCTTGACCTGAGCAAGCTCCTTCCCCCCAACATCTAACAATGCAGAGTAGCTGTAATGAAAAGTGGTCTGAAATACATGGGTCATATTCTTTGTTTGTTTGTGTTTTTTTTTTTCCCAGTTTGAAGTGGAGAAATTGATACTGGAGATACTAAATCTCCAGAGGGGCAGCAGGGTTGTGTCAAAAGGTCTCTCGAAGGCTCAGAACATGCATGCCCTGGTGCCCCGTACCTGCCAACGATCATGAGTTCCCACTCGGAACAACGAGGCCGGAATTGTTTCCAGAGGTCCATGGTGAAAATGGTGCTGGCACTATTGAAGATGGAAGTCAAGGAGGACATAAGCGCTGCTATCATCACGGACATCATCAGGCCCCGGAGTCCTGGAAACAGAAGCGTGGCCTCCCTGAGGACTCCCAAATAACCTCAGATGCAGGATGACCTTGAATTCTTTGAACTACAACAGACTTCTAAAAGTATTTTTAGCCCCAATTTTAAAATGGGT